GGTCTCCATAACATTTGAAATCCGAAGTTACAGTGGAAATCCAGGTCCTCAGGAAGGGCACGGTGAGTCTGAACCGCCTGAGCTAACAGGGAGGGTCAAAGCAGCCCAGAGCGGACTTTTTGCATGTAAGAAGAAAAAAGCCAGGAGTCAGTGAGAAAATGAAGCCTCAGTTCTAAAAATAGCTTTTTTTTTTTTCTTTTCTGGTTATAATACTTTCACTGCACCTTTGTTTTAAAGGCACTTCAGGAGTTCTGACATTTTCTATTTCTGAATCAACGGAGAGAGGAAATTAAACCACACGGGAAGAGCACAGCCATTCCACCTTCTCACACACTTACAGAGACACACATGTGTGTGAGCACGTGTACATTGTGGCCTCAGCTTTATTTTGTTTTAACTAGCAGTGAACTCTTCTTATCTCTCTGTTAGAAAACTAGAGTTACTTGGAAGGAGGGTGAGACTGGGAAGAGAGCACTTGATGGCCATCACAGTCACCACCATCCTTCTCCTTTGACTCTAACATAATGATTTAAAAACACCTGGGCATTCTAACCAAAGAGATTTAGGTACCTGTCCCAGCAACATCCCCTCCTCTTCTGTGACCTTATGTAGGTATGTACATTAGCTGCTGCTGAGTTGGCCCCTGATTCTTGGCAACCCCATGTACAACAGGATCAAACTGTTGTGATCCATAGGGTTTTCAAGGGCTGATTTTTTGGAAATAGATAATCTTGCCTTTGTTCCTAGTCCATGTTAGTCTGGAAGCTTTGCTGAAACCTGTGCAGCATCATAGCAACACACAAGCTTCCACTGACAGACAACTGGGGGCTGTGCTTGGGTGTACTGGCCAGGAATTGAACCTGGGTCTCCCACGTGAAAGGTGAGAATTCTACCACTGAACCATCACTGCCCTTTTGTGTTACCTTGTTGCTGTTGTTCTTAGCGGCCGTCAAGTCAATTCTGATTAATGGCAACCCCAAGGTGCAGAATAGAACTGTACTTCATCGGGTTTTGAAGGCTCTGACCTTTCAAAAGCAGATTGTCAGGTCTTACTTCCGAGGCACCTCTGGGTGGGTTTGAACCAACAGACTTTCAGTTAGTAGTCCAACATTTAACCTTAGCCAGGTTAATTAATTTCCGTGACTTAGTTTCTTCATCTTTGAAATTCTTCATCCCAGTCACTATTACTCTGTCATCAACATCCAGCAGTAGAGGAGGATCTACGGTGTGCCCAGAAAGGATACTTTAGGACCTGGGCCTTGGCTGTCACTCCCAATTCAGATCAAAATACCCCACCAATGGCCTCTTCCTTTTCTTATCCTCCCACCACTGGGTAAGAAACTGTATCTGTTAAATTATTCCATGACGTAAAAACTTTCTGGGTGCTATTCTCTGTTTAGGGCAAACATGGAAAACTCTGGAACACATATTCAGCTGGACAGCAGACTGACTCTTAACTGGGGCCCACTGCAAACTACCCAGTAGGCCAGACTGTCTTCTACACTCAAACAGCTACTATCAGCTGAGCTATTAAGAAATCCAGCCACAAATTACTACTTGTTCAGCAATAACATCAAGGAGAAAGGGCTCTGTGAAGAAGACACCTACATCCAAACTAGAACGGTGACCAGGATTTAGAACTCGTCTCTTCATCACTAGTCCTGGGGCTTTCCCACTACACAGTACTTAGTCATGTAAACTGTGCCACATTCACAGTTTATTCTTGTAACCCCTAGAATTCAGGGACCAAGGATGACCCTAAGCAAGTTGTCTCAATGAATTTCTCCTCTTCTATTCAAGACTACAAACTTTTATACGTAACACATCTTGTTTCAGTTCTCCAAGATTCATTTTCTAGGATAAACTTCAGGATGCTTGCTGGGAACTCTCTAACACGACAAGGAGGCAGTGATAAGGAATGACTGGGAGATGGCAGGGTAATAATAACAAACATGGGCACTGACAAATTAATCTCTATGCCCTAAGAGGCCTGAAAAGCAGTTGTGGCCCCACGCTAATATTACCAGAATTTCACATCTTTTACTATATTTTACCCCAAGGAAGCTTGGCATTTCTATTGCAACAGATAATCTTTCCTTTTCTAAAAAATAAAATTTGTCTTGACCTCCTCTCCACGGCACTGGGCTTGATCCTATAAAACGCATATAGGAACCAAAAAAGAATGGCCAACTGATTGAATTTTAAGTTGGAAAGGCACATTGAGAGTCATAAGCCAACTACTCGTTTCTATGGATATAAAATTTGGGACCAGAGACATCAAATGACTTCCTCATTATTACACTGTGATGGGAAAGTCTAAAACCCAAGTCTCCCGGCTATAAATGTACGCTTTTCTCTTATCACACTATACTGATTAGCTATCCAACAATTCATGCCTGGATTTCTGAAAGCTCAGCTGACAGGTATCAGTATCTTTGGCTATCCTCGCCAATTCAGTAGCTGCATGCAGTATAAACCAAACCAAACTAAACCTGCTGTCGTCCAGTCAATTCTGACTCATAGTGACCCTGTAGGACAGAGCAGAACTG